TATTTTTAATTTTTTCATCGATCCTATGGAAAGACATTTTGCCTTACATCAAAAAAAAAAAAAAAAAAAAAAAACAAAAAAACCCCAAAAAAACCCAAAACCACCACCACCACCACCACCAAAAGTCTGGAACGTATTAACTTAGCAGGCTACCAGCTTCCACCAACCAAAAGACAGTGCCATCAGACAGCCTCTGAGGCCTACGGCTGGGATTGCTCTTTTGCTGTATCTACCAAATGTTTCCACCACTGTATCTGAAAGATCTTGATTTATGACTTTTCTTTGTTCTGTTACTATAGAAACTGCCTCCACCCTGGAACATGGAATTTGCGGTGACCTGAGTCTCTGTTCCTGGGTCATGGTCACTCATATTTGACTAAGACCAAACATCTTTTGTCCCTTTTGAGATGAGAGTTGTGCTTCTGTACCAACAGTTCCAACCAGACTTTATTGAGAGACCTCTCTAAACTTCCAGAGAAAGTGCAATGTTTAGGTGGAGCAATGGCTCAGCAGTTAAGAGCATTGGCTGCTCTTGCAGAGGACCCGGTGGGTTCCCAGCACCCATGTGGCAGCTAACAACCATCCATAACTCCAGTTTCAGAGGATCTGACACCCTCTTCTGGCCTCCACAGGCAAGGTAAACTGAAAAGATTGGGCCACAAACAGTGGGTTTGGAGGGTTAACAGGAAGTGGTTGGCATCTGTCTGCCAGTCTTTCCTTAGGACAGAAAGCATTTACTTATACCAAATCCAGAGGGCCATTTCTCCAGAGGATGCTGTGCAGCTCTGGAGCACCCCGGCTGGTCACTGCTGTGTGACTGTGCAGTGCTTGACAGGATTGTTCTGAAGGCACAATCTGAAGGCACACAGACACAGAAGAGCCGCATTCTAAGAACACAAGCAGAGATACAGGGACTGACTTCTGACTGCCAGAGCTCCCTGACTCTGGCTCCTCCAGCAGCATACTCTTCAAGCTCCTTGCTGCTGCACACATCACACCTGCCCTGCAATCCAACGTTGAGGCCTAGGGTGCACCATCAAACCTCTAGGGTCTTAGTTTCCTCCTGTGTAAATGGGTTGTTACAGGAAACTGTCCACAGAAACTGGGCAAACATTAGGTCAAAAGGAGGCCTTGAATGCTGGTCACTACCCTCTGTCCCTAGCCACCTGGCTGTCACTGTAGGACTAGGTAAGGAAGAAGGGTAGACACAGAGAATGTTCAGAGAAGAAAAGGCAGGGGACCTCCCGGGAACCATCTTGGAGATGCCCTTCCGATGGTGTGTCCACCCCATGTGGAGAGTCAGGTGGGGAAGGACGACCGAGGACTGTGTGCCCACCTGCTGGACCAGCAAAGGAACTCCTCTGTGTCCTCAGAGGATGCCTTTCCAGGCATGGGCCCCGCTGTGACATTCAAGGTCAAGGGCATGGATCTGTTCCAGGAAGCGTGGGCCTTGAGGCATCACCAGTGACTCTTCCTGGACCACCTGAAGGGACTGGCCAGACGGCGCTGATTTCCCTTCGCCATCTCTTCCCCCAATGCAGCCTGCACCCGGGAAAACGTGGTGAGGACCAGTGGCTGCTTTGGAAGGTCCTGAGGTCAGGCCTGGCTCCAGACCTTGCATGCACATGCCCCCGGGACCTGCCTTGTCTCCCAGCCCTGCACGGCCCCGTGGCCCTGTGATCACGACCCTTCTTGCCCTGTGCCCACACCCGGGGGCTCGGTGCTCGGGACTGGGGTCGCGCGCTCCGGGGGACCCTGCGCGCGCCCGGCCCTGCGCGCGCCCGGGCGCCGGACCCGCCCCGTGACGCATTTCCAACCACCCAGAATCGCGGCCAGCCAGCGCGCACCCGACGCCACGGGGCGCGCGCCTCGTGCACGCGCGACGCCACGTGACCCTGCCCGGCCAACCGGCGAGCCCGGATTTGGGGATAAAGCGCGGCCCCGCGACAGTTGCGGCGGGAGAGCGGTGGGGCAGAGAGCGTGACTCGCCCGCTCCAGTGCCACCGTTCCCGCCGTGCTTGCCGTCGCCGCCGCCGCCGCGCAGCCATGTCGGAGGAGAAGCCCAAGGTGAGCCCGGCACGCCCGCCCGCAGCGCCGGACCCCGCCGGGCACCGCGCCGCGCGGGAACGGAGAGCCGGCGGGACCGCGCCGGGT